AGACAGTTGTAAGTGTAACCTATTAAGGGGTAGATGGGGGTACATGTTAGGTACAAAGTGATTAATTGAAGATATTTTACGTGCCTGGCTGAGATACAGGTGCTGGTCTAAGGGACATACCTTTCTGACTGGTGTAGTCACACCAACACAAAATCTCTGGCTACCATAGGTCACAGCACACTGGGTAAATCACATGTTCAGCCCAACACAGGTTCTTTATCTAAAACCTTCATTTGAATTTCTTCCAGTTTTCCATCAAAATTTTATAACTTACATGATTATGTCCAGAAGTTGACATAAGACCTGGTGACCCATTTAAGGAGGAAAGATACATAACACACACAGGTAATTGTTTATACATAGGCAGAAAATGTATGAACTGACAAAAATGATACTGTCCTCCCTAAATTCTACAATAGATCTGTCCGGTTCTTACATTAGTGTGAACCGGTATTGTTGCGGGAAGGGATGTTTATGAGTGGAGTGACATCTAAACTAGGATATTGGTGTGAGGATGAGGCACTTTTGCTGATAAGGCCCGTCTGTGTGGGACTACAACAGGTAGGAGGTGGGCTGACCATTGGCGTCTCTCACTAATGTCAAATGAGTTGTGCTAGGACCAGTGGTGTGATGTACCGGACTGGCTTCCCTGACATGTTGTAGGACCTGCATTCCGCAGCAATATCCCTAGACAATTGGTAGGGCGGTTTGGTGTGGCATGCATCACCAGTATTACATGACATGAGATGGGACTATTTGGTTATATGTCATAAGATAGAAATATTTGGTTTACATGTCATAAGATAGAAATATTTGGTTATATGTCATAAGACAGAAATATTTGGTTATATGTCATAAGACAGAAATAATTGGTTATATGTCATAAGACAGAAATATTTGGTTACTTGACATGTGATAGGACCATATGTTGTGGTCCCCAGCCAAATATCACGCTGACATGTGATAGGACCATATGTTGTGGTCCCCAGCCAAATATCATGCTGACATGTGATGGACCATATGTTGTGGTCCCCAGCCAAATATCACGCTGACATGTGACAGGACCATATGTTGTGGTACCCAGCCAAATATTACGTTGACATGTGATAGGACCATATGTTGGGGTCCCCAGCCAAATATGATGCTGACATGTGATGGGCCAAATGGTGTGGTCCCCAGCCAAATAGCACGTTGACATGTGATAGGACCATATGGTGTGGTGCCCAGCCAAATATCACGTTGACATGTGATAGGACAATATGTTGTGGTCCCCAACCAAATATCATGCTGACATGAGATGGACCATAGGGTTTGGTCCCCAGCCAAATATGATGCTGACATGTGATGGGCCCTATGTTGTGGTCCCCAGTCAAATATCATGCTGACATGAGATGGACCATAGGGTTTGGTCCCCAGCCAAATATAACGCTGACATGTGATAGGACCATATGTTGTGGTCCCCAGCCAAATATCACGTTGACATGTGGTGAACACTACCTTTCTACCTATTTACAAACCTGACTCTTACTTTGATGTCTGGTGTCCCATATATTGTGTTTCCTAAAGTTACCTGGTACTGGGGGGTGTTTGTCAGATTCATGTGGACATCGGTTTTGGAGTGTGTGCCCTAAAAGGAATCTCACTAGAGTGATGTGTTGTGGTTTAAGTTCGGGAGTTTGGTTATACAGTCGTACTTGTATGTGTAAATATACCATACAAATGGACAGGACGACTTAAATGGATTACTGCTGTATGGTATGTAAATTAATTCCGAGTGATATATATCGTAGATCCTAGGGAAAATGTTCCCTATGAAATTTACACTTAACAAGATGACACTTGTTCTTGATTAATTTCGGCAATGACATGGCAATTGGAATGTAGATGCATACATATGTAAAGGCAAGAAGATGTATAAATTTGTTCAAGGCAAGAAGGTGTATAATTATATTAAGGGCACCTCGGTGTATAAATAAAACAATATCTCTTGGAGGAATTTTCAAATTTTGGTGAAACCTGCCAGGCCCGGTTTAATGAATTTCTTTAGCTTAACTTGAAATTTCCCTTAATATAAACAGCACACTAACTCTCCAAATCCTCACTCAGGTCCGATGGGCAGCTTATGAAGGCCCATTATAATTAGGTGTAAATATATACAGAATTTCTGTAAACAATAAGATTTTGCTAAGTTTATTGAAAATCTTTTTCAGGACTATATAACCTATTGTTCCCATTTTGTTTGTATGGGGGAAAAGTAGGAATGGAAATAATTATGATACAAACAATACGTTAGAAAATGACAAGTACACCTGTATTTACAGCTGAATGTCTACCTGGTACAGGTGTAGTACTAACATGTCAATACACACCAATGCGTGTTGACATCTATTGTATACATCGACCAGTAATGTAAGGTGTTCCATGTTGATAAGTTATGCAATTGTCTGTAAAATTAGAAAAATAAACCTAATATTTTTCAGTGGTGTTTCTGTTATGTAAATAATTCAATGTATACAGCTTAAAAATAAATCCAGGTGTTAGTATTACTGTCAATACTGAACAATTGTTCAATGATTGAAAAAATCAAACACTGTTTGCTCAGTGCATTTATATGGCTATATGGTAAATATTTGACTAGGTTCAATTTTATAAAGAATTTTTCATCCCAAGTCTCATATAAAAGGCATTTAAAAATCAAAGTTCAAAGTTCATGTTAAAATGTTAGGTGTAGAATCTATTGAAAAAATATTTTCTGGGTTAATGTTTCCTGTTAAGTTTATGATATTCTGTATGTTAATTTGGCCTGTTACAATTAAGCAATGCATATTTCCCCAAAGACAGTACCACATTTGACATAACAAGGGTGCCTGCTTTACATAGGGTACTGTAAGGAATTTTATATTAATAATTTGAATACTTGTTGAACCATTCCAGATTGTATCCTATCTGGGAGTCATTTGGTTGGTTTTGATATTTAACAACTTCTGTCACCAAAATGGCACTGTATATGAGTGTATTGAACAAAATCAAAGCTATCATTGAATGTTATCAGCTGATGCAGTGACCAATGCCGTTATTCAGAATGATGTTACTCTATATTACTGGGGAGTTCATCTTGTGGGTGGTGTAAAGAGATGTCCATGTCAGTCTCTGCCACTGTGGGAAAAGCCAAAATTATTATATCAGTATGTTGTTTGAGGAAAAATAAAAGGCATCCCAGTCATCATTTACCATATTATGTTAAATCTGGTATTTCTTTGATAAGACATAAAATATGTGGTACCTGTTCTTAACTTGGAAGCTGTACCGAGTTACATGTGAAATAATTGGGAAATACATAAGTAATTTGATCATGTTTCTCATTGTTAATCAATATCCATGTGATCTTCAATTTGGAGAGCACCTTTTCCTGTGATCAGTGGTAATTGAGGTCAGTTTTACATTTCTCGGTACAAAAAGTAAACATTTTGAGTATTACTGTTGTAACCAAGGTGATTATAGAGTTTTGTGTTGAGTACAACTGCTGTAGCCAAGGTGATTATAGAGTTTTGTGTTGAGTACAACTGCTGTAGCCAAGGTGATGTAGAGTTTTGTGTTGAGTACAACTGTTGTAACTTTTTGTTGAGTACAACTGTTGTAACCAAGGTGATTATAGAGTTTTGTGTTGAGTACAACTGCTGTAGCCAAGGTGATTATAGAGTTTTGTGTTGAGTACAACTGCTGTAGCCAAGGTGATGTAGAGTTTTGTGTTGAGTACAACTGTTGTAACTTTTTGTTGAGTACAACTGTTGTAACCAAGGTGATTATAGAGTTTTGTGTTGAGTACAACTGCTGTTGCCAAGGTGATTATAGAGTGTTGTGTTGAGTACAACTGCTGTTGCCAAGGTGATGATAGAGTTTTGTGTTGAGTACAATTGCTGTAGCCAAGGTGATTATAGAGTTTTGTGTTGAGTACAACTGCTGTAGCCAAGGTGATT